TGCAAAACAGCGAAAATTTGGTTATTTTTCGTTGTTGGTTCTCATGTGAGAATCCGTAGAGGATGTTAATGCGTGTAGAAGTGTTGGATTTGTGTCTAATGCCTCTCAAGTGCATGATTTAACTTTAGCCAACATTTAAATGACTCCAAAATAAAGAAAACCACTAGTTTAATCAAAAGTTTTCCCAAATCAAATTTGGGATGTAATTAACCATAGGGGCTTGCCCTTATGGGATGTCTGTACCCCAGAAATAAATAAACCCCACTCAACCAAACATCGAGTTGGGGAATCTCTGTTAAATAATTGTAAATTTTATTATTGAGCCAATAAGAAAATGGTATTTTTACCCTCTGGGGTAATATATCGTATTCTTATGCCGTGCCCGATTATAAAAAATGCAATCCGTTCGAGGATATAAAAATTCTCCAACATACCCATCATCACTCCGTAACAGCCTGTGTCAACCAATTTTATTCTCAGCTGGTCTACGACCTGGGAGGAAATGAAATTGTGGGTAGCCCCACTATCAATTAACACACCACCTCCCTGTCCTTTATCTCTCCCTTCACTTTCATGTGTGATTCGTTGTAAACCCCACCACTGAGTTTAGGGAAACCTCAACTAAATCCAAGTGTAGCTCCTCTTCTCCTTCTGTCTCCTCCTCACCTCCCTCCTCAATTTCCTCGTCATCGCAGACGGTGAGAACCTGAAGAGTTCGGTACTTGCACCGATGTCCTGGTGTGTACTTTTCATCGCATCGAAAACACAAGCCCTTAGCCCTCCTCCTGCATCTCTTTCTTTGTCAGCCGTTTGAAGTTTCCTATGTTTCCTCTTGTCTTCTCCTTGGTAGCTTCTTTATTCAACGTTCTTTGACGACAACCCGAGGAGTTGCAGCAGATCTACCCAGATGACTTAGAGATCTACGAGAGCACCAGAGACACTTACTCGACGGAGTCGAAATTCTCCCACCCCGGGAGGATGATGGGGACTTCAGATCATGGAAGGTTTATCAGAGGAGTGGACGCCGATCTACGGCCACGATTGAGTCATTGTATTTTTGATTTATTCTATGTATTTTTGTAATTATGTTAACACGTTTTATTTGTTTTCTCTAGTTTCCCGTTGTACCCTCTAATAGCATCTTTATTCCCTCCTGTTACAGGGCCTTTAGGTGCGAGATGAGTAGTCGTCATCCTGTACGTGCCACCGATGCTACTACTCCTAGCACCCTTCTCCAAATTCATCTGCTTTTCCACCAGTTGGCTAACTTCATGGCATCCCCCAGGTCATGGGGCATCAACACCTTCACTGCTGCTCGGATCTCCGCCTTCAACCCTTTTATGAAATTTCCCTCCAATACTGTATATGAGAGTCGCTCCACCCTGCCAGTTAGGTGCTCAAACTGCTCCCGGTAATCTTATACTGATCCCTCCTGTGTTAGAGTAAAGAACTGCTCATAGAAGTCTCCTCCTTGATCGGTTTGAAAATGTTCTATTATGCAATCTTTAAATTCCCTCTAGTTTTTGATCGGCCACCTCTGGTTTTTCCATTGAAACAATGACAGAGCTTTCCCTTCCAAGCATAATCTAGCTGTCGTTAGCTTCTCTTCCTATGTTAGCCCATTGACGGCGAAGTATCGCTCCACTATGTAAATCCACCCATACGCATCTTCTCCTTCGAATATGGGCATCTTCAACTTCCTTACCTTTTGATCTCCCCCCATTGCCTCGGATTCTTCCATAGTTTCCCCTTTCCCAAGTGCTAGGTGCACCCCAAGTTTCCCGGTCTTCTCTTGCCCTGCCATAGCCCAAACCTCCTTCAAAATCTCCTCTTCTCCCTTCAAATTCAGCACCCCGACGGCTGTAAAACCCCTCATGGCATTCCCAATCAGTCCTTCCTTGCTCCGCTCCCCCATATCCATACCTTTACCCATGTCGATCACCTCTTTCTTCCCTATGGAAATGCTCCACATAGGGTCTTCTTCTTCCCCCTTCCACGATTTCCACCTCTTCTTCCTCCTTTCGGATTTCAGAATTGGTGTTTCTCGCTTCAGGCCCCTTTGCTTCGGATGCCGCCGTTTGTGCTTGAAGTTCCAACATTATTTTCATCGTTTCCCTGAGATCGGCCACCTACCCTCCATGGAAGAAATTCTCTCCTCCACAGTTTCTTTGATGTGATTCATCTCTCCTTCGAGTTTCTCCTCCAAAGCATTAACTTTCTTGGCCGCCATTATAATCTGAAGTTTGTAGATTCACAAAATCTGGATCTTGAAGTCAAAAAAATAGCAACTTCCTCTTTTTCCGAGCAAAAAACTGCTGTTAGAATTTGCCGACAACAGCCCTCCACCGGCCCCAAGACTCGCTCTGATACCAATTTGATAGGAAATAATTGAGTTCGCAAGCAACCCTAAGGGAATACTTGAGTTCGCAAGCAAACCTATCACTAATTGGAGACAAAACAGCGAGAAATAAGAAAAAATCTGGGTGATGGGTGAAATCAGCACCAAAATGATAGATTGCAATAAGAGAAACAAAGCAAAAACAATACAAAAGCAAGATACAAGTGATCCTCAATTTGAGAGGAGGATCGTCTCTCCCAAGTCTCCAAGAAGAAAACAATACTTGCATGCCTTTCCCTTTCCCTTACCTCTCCTATTTAAAGACTTTTCCACCTCCTCAAATCTTTCCTAAAAGTAAATTTCAAATAAATTCAAATCCTGTGGACCCCGCCCCTAGGCGGTAATCTAATTTGAGCAAGAAGGAGGCGAAACCGCCTCCTTTTGTATACAATTGCCGGCCCAGGAGGGGTCGGCTGAGGCGGTTCAGAAGGAATCGCCTCAAGAGGTGGTTCAGAAGGAACCCATATCACTTCCCCTCACTCCCATCTCCCCCAGTCCGACTAACTTCCATCACCGCTACCTACTCAACCAACCACCGACACCACCTTTTCTTCCTTTCACTCTCTTCCCCACTTCCTCCCTCACACATTCTCCCTCTCACCCTTTTTCTCTCTTCCTCCCACACTACCTCTCTCTCTTCTTCTCCACACTATTTCCCTCTTTCTCTATCTCTCTCTCACTTTCTCCCCCTCTCTTTCTCCCTCACTTTCTCTCTCTCTCATTCTTTTTTTCTCACTATATATGTTTTTACCCTCTCTTTCTATCTCTTTTCCTCTCTCTTTCTTTCTCTCTATTTCTCCCTCTCTCTCTTTCTCCCTCCATTTCTATCTCTATCTCTCGCTATCTCTCTCTAATTCTCACTCTCTCCCCACTCTCTCTAAAAAGAAAAAATAGTAAAAAATATATGAAAAAGAAAAAGAAAAGAAAAAGAGAAGGAAAAGGAGAAAATTTCAAAAAAGTGTATATTTCGCTCACCGCAAAATCATCGGCTTGCCATTATCAACCACCTCGCAAGCAAGGTATAAACAAAAGCCCTAAAATTAAGTGCCTATGGGCATTGTTCCAACGCAATGGGAAAATTTGCAACATAAGTACTTGTGCACGTTATTTCAATGCCGCAAAAAAAAATCATGTGTGTTCGCTTGTGCTAGTACAAAGACCCATACGTATTGGAGCGATGACATAAAAGACCACCGAATACGATATCTTACAAGACCGACCTACACACATTTATTGACGTAGTAGAAAGGCCTAGACTCCCTATAGATATCTCCTATGTGAGGGAAATGTCAAGAGACAATCGAAATCTTCAGTAAACTCAACTTGCACATAACTCAAAAAGAACAAAACAAAACAAAAAAAACCTTCGGATTATACAAGTATCAAAAATGAAAAAACAAATGAGTGACATGTGCCCATAGGCTACTCATATTGTTATTAAAAAGCTTTTTATATAAAGAGTGACATGTGTGCAATGTTAGTTGGATCAAAAAAAAGACCTGATTACCGAACATACTCCATTAATGTTGGGTATTCTGTAAGGTTACTCATATTGCTTTTGCCTAAGTATCATTTTTTCTTACTAATCATTCAACATGGGTGTAATCTATTCGTCTTACTATGCATTTTCTACCCATCATTATACATAACCAAATCACCCAAGTCTAATTTCTCATTATCTTATTTTCAATAGATGCTACTCATATTATTTCTCTATTGTAATTATTTCTCAATTATCCAATTTATTATTCATCCATCTTAAAATTCTCATTTATATCATAATTGGCTATCAATAACTTCTTTATTACCCAAAACGCAAGCTCATGTAGCATGTTCAATATAATTGTAGTGGTACAAAAATAAATTTTAAGTCTCCATAACTTCACCTTGATTGAGCATACAAGAAGATAAGCCCTTTTTTTAATGATAGGTCATAAAGCAACAAGTGGTAGTCATGCCTAGTTATAAGAATTTCAAATAGAGAAACGTATATCTTAATTATTTCACATGGCCTTCACTTTTTGAATCCAATCAAGCAGCACAACAAAAAACATAATAATAGAGAAGTTCTTCATTCAATAATTCAACCATTACTATTGAAAGCAAGTTGGTCTTATTTATAATAGGAGTACAACAAAGATCCATAACATCTCAGAATAGACTTGAATTTTGTAATTCTAAATCTACTAGATAATTAAGGGTAATCCATCTTAACGTACCTTATAACTACCCATTACAAGGCATGTTGTGCAAGGAACCATCCAAGGGACATACTTACACTTGCTCAGCAACAAGGAAAAGATTGTCATTTGTGTATTTATCACAAAATACCACCCAAGGAATATCCTACTGTCACCGTGTTCAGATGTTCTGTTGAATGTCAAAAACTAAATTGCAACCCTCCTAGGACTCAATTGATACAAAATCCTCGTCTAATGTGTTCGGACAAAAATAGAATTTTGATTCTGAGAAGAGTTATAACCATTTGGATAAAACAATCTCTTGAATTTGTTAGCTCAAAGAAATAATTATCAAATGATTTTTTTTCTAAGCATAATAATTGGACAATGTATAGAATACATTAAAAAAATAAGCTCATTACCCTGCAGAAGAATGCCAAGCAGGAAAAGTTCTAGTGCCCTCAGCACTGCTTGCTGTGTTGCTCGTAATTTGTTTGATGTTTTCTGAAATTATACAACAAAAACCTCTTCAGATGTTTGGTGCTAAATATTAAGCAACCAAGAAAAGAGAAAAGCAAAGAAATTAAACAGATCGTTCCTATCACTAAAAATGATCCCAAAATAAACACCTAGAAATTCAAACGTCAAATTATTGTATGCACAACGAGAATTCTTGCTTAATGTTTGGCATTCTTCAGATGATCATGAAAATATGAACCATGTTGAAGCTTATTAGCTAACCCAAAAGGTACTGACTGATCAGCAAATAAATGAAAACCAGGGAAAAGAGAAACAAGCTAATCAGTAATGATAACCCCCTGGTGGTACTATAAAAGGCTTGCCATCCTCCATCAAAACTCCAAAACTGCCCAATCCTACCTCTTAAATCATGTGTTTTTAATTTTTTATTGAAATTCCAGCGATCTTCATCTCGTCCACTAGTTCCTTTCAATTTTTCTACCATCAACTCAGACCAGAAGATGGCATAATTTGAGTGGGATTGACCTCATTAAAATTTTGAAAAGATTAAAGACAACTAGATGTTATTTGTTATCATGTGCTAGCAAGCATCGCGGTGATGATTTTTTCCAGCATGTTAATGGCACATCTCAAATTGTGAAGCAAATGATTGGAACAGCAAATGATTGGAAATAGGCAGAGGATGAAAGGAGACTGCCACAATGGATAACTTAGTGATGCAGACAAACTAGATAGAAAAGTTAGATAAGGAGAACGATGGGCAACACTATAACCAAATTCGATTCAAATAGTAGCAATCATCTAAAACACAAAAACCGACGGATAAAACAAGAAGTGAGATCAAACGAAACAAAAGAAATATAAAAAGACGCTATCCTCAGAACAACCGACATAACGGTTTCCTCACATGCATCGAAATGTAGGTTAAGTAAAATATGTGCTTAGGGCTAGCAAACCGATGGTCCACCACAGCAAGAAGGTCCAAACGTCCAACCAAACTCCTCCAGCAAATGCTCCCAAATCAGCCAACAAACACTTCCAAAGCACAAAAAGAAGGATACAAATGGAGTGGATCTTGCGTAGAGAAGAAAGAGGTAAGAAGCCCAGACGAAATAGAGAAGAAGAAGAAGTGGACAAAGCTCTCAAGCTTTTCCAAGAAGAAGAGAAAACCCTCAGGTTTTAGGACTAAGCTTAACAAAATTCAACAACCTTTTCCTTCATAAAACATCTTCTATATATAGGTAAGAGAGGGGAACCAAACAGCCATAGCACCTCCAACTAAACCAATTAGATTTAGGGAAATGAAAGGCCAACAGCCACAACACATCAGCCCCCATACGGTACAGCAAAACAGAGAAGAGAAGCCATGAGAACCAAGCAGCCAGCCGCGGGAACCAAAGGGGCAAGGCACGAGAAAATCAGCCAGCACAGGAAAACGAGAAGACAAAGGGGAGGAGAAGAGGCAAGTCCACTCCAAATTGAATCCATGAATTAAAGCATACCTTTTTGGAATAATGAGCTAGGAAGTTCAATAAATCTCCCAATTAATGAACTAACTTCAGCTCAACATTAATGAGCTAGCACTTTAGAAAATAAAGCTCAACACCAAAGTAACCACCACCTCCCAACATCAACACCAGCTCAAAACCAAGAAATATAAGCTCAACCCGAGAACCAGCAGCAGCCCAAGGGACCCAATCAAGCTAGCAAACCAAAGGTCTATCAAAGCCCAAGCACAACCTACCATGATCATTAGATGCCTTCCATCATTGGATAGCTAAAAAATATAAAACTAAATGAAGAACTAATGTTCAATATTTGATAATAAAAATACAAAAATTATGAATGCATCACTTAGACAAACTTATTCCAGCACAAGTATGAGTTTTATTTAATTTAAATATCAATATATCATTTAAATTAGTTCAATTTTTTAGCCTTTATTTAAATTTTCATGGGCAATTTAGGATAAATTTGACAATCCAATCTTAGTTCGTAGAATCCTCTATTATAAATAGAGGTTCAAATGCAATATAATAGTTAGACTGAAATGAATTAAAATGGTTAGATAATGATTATTGAAATGAATTAAAATGGTTAGATTATGATTAATGAAATGAATTTATTATTAGCATGGCTTTTGCTTCCCTAAAGCTATGTGTCAACTTTCTTCTCATCCCCTTTTCTTCACTTTTCTGCAACCATTCAAGGCTTCAACAAACCATCTTTTGCTTCTCTATGCAACGGTTTTCTTTTCTTGCTTTAATAAAAATGCATCAAAAATATTTAGCGAACACAACATCCTGCATGTTATGCACATGGCTATCATCATCCAAAAGCCATCCCTATTAGGAATTATTGTAGAACAAACCATCAGTGATCAGTGCTCATGCATGCATCATTGTCATTGTAGATGAGGTTGAACGCCCAGATTTAGAAGGCAAGCAACTTCAACTCGGAAGGTTCATGCAAATAACACTTTTTCTTAATTATGAAAAACAGACTGAAAAGAAAAGAATGCAGCATAATCATAGGAATAAAAAGGTGAATGACATGGTTGTGAAGGATTAACTGAGCGTCAGGATTTTTCACAATTAGGAATAAAAAAAAGTTATATGGAAAAAATGAAATAAAACACCTATTTTTTATAGAATCCAAGGCTTAGGACAGATTAGACCTCTGAACTGATAAAATAAATTTATATTTAACATAAAAGAAAGAATACTTTTGCAGATCTACGAATAACTAAAATGTTAAGTACAAAACTAGTATACTTCTAGTAAGTAGAGAATATGACGGAAGGTTTTAAGTAGATAATTGTCACATACCTTGTATACAAGTGAAAGAGATATCCCGGCAATAAAGAGAAAAAATGGTGTCACAAAATCAGCCAAACGTACACCATGCCATGGGGAATGAGCAACAAATGGAAAAACAGAACCCGCGTAATCGACAAATATCATAAGCTGAAATTGGAGTATTAAACTTGAGTTAGGTCAAAATTTTAAGAGCATGAGATTTCACATAAACTATTGCATGTAGCATCAAGAAGAAAATATGAGAACATAAGGTCGCAAATACCCAAAACATGCAAAATGTGAAATTATAAATAATCGTTAGATTTGATAAAACACACTATGCGAAGTCATTAGTGAAATCATAATCAGGTTTATGTATATTCACTCATGAACCTTTAAACTATTAAAAAACATGCATGAACACTTACATAAAAAGCAAATAATTAAATATAAATCTCCACTCCAAATCAAAACTCACAACCCTCAAGGCTCTTAATTCTAAGAAATACAAATCCTAATTCCTAAGATTCTATCTCTCAAGATTCTCTCCTCTTGGCCGATTTCTATACAAATTCCTCTCTATTTTTTCTCTCTCTGCAAGCCAAATTCATATTATTCACTCATTAGTATATAAAAAATTTATCATTTTATGTTTACGCAATCTTTTGATTTTGAGGCTTAAGCCTCAAAACGCCTTAAGGCTTACGCCTGGCTTCACGAATGAAAAACGCCTCAATACCCGAATACGCAATTTTAAACATTGATCCTAAGATTCTATCTCTCAAGATTCTCTCCTCTTGGCCGATTTCTATACAAATTCCTCTCTATTTTTTCTCTCTCTGCAAGCCAAATTCATCCCTCTCAATTAAGGGTTCAATTCAAGGAGAATTCAAGTAAATCAAATGCATTCAAGCAAAAAAGATGGAAGAACATAAAACATGGTGATCATAAACAAGATTCCATCAACAAATTACAGAACCGCTTTATATTCGAAATAAGACAAACGGCTTATCAGATGTGCGCAACAATAAGCCAATTGCACTTGCAGAACAGTCTAGTTTAGGAAAACCCTAAAGACATTGTTGTCCTCATTCTCAAATTAAAATTACGCCAATCAAACTCCTAACAAGATCAAGGTCATTTTGGCGATCCGCTGGTTGTTGACAAGAATAAGCCAATAATGAGGCAATCCCAACCTTAGCTAGTGGCAGCCAAAGAACTTCTTCTAAGCTAATCGAACAAACAAGGTCAAATAAAAAAGGGGCAATAACTTCGAGTCCAATATTCTGAGTAGTGTTTTATATAAGAGTTTTATAAACTAGATGAATACTAAATTGATAAGCAAACCTAAATCTTTCCCTAAGGAGCTATTTGGCAACAAAGAGGATTAAACTTTAGTGGGATTTAGTAAATCCTAAGGGTGTTAAATCCTAAAAACTGTTTGGTATGATAAATTTTAAATCCAATTAAATCCTGATAAATAATTTGGTAACATATTGCATGATTTATGGCAGTTAGGAATTTAAATGTGAAGAAGATAATTGCAAATAAAAAATTAAATTTATAATTAAAAAAAATTAATGTGTTATGAATTTAATAATATGTTAAGTAGAAGTTACTCATTAATTATTATTTACACTATTAATTATATATTTAATAATACAAATTTTAAGTTATATTAATATTTAATAACAAATTATATCATTAATTATTCAATTAAGTTAAATTAAATAATTAATTTATGCACTAATTATACTATTAATTATTTAATTAATTTACTTAATTATTAATTTTTTAAATTATATTAATTAAGTTAATCAATAATAA